GCTTATTTATTTCAGCTCTCTAAAACTCAGTTCCCTCATTTATGAAGTGGGAATGATATCTAATTTATAGGGTTCCTAGGAGACTTAAGAGTGGGATTTATACAAAGCATATGGTCTAGTATGTACGGGGTGCCAACGAAAGTTACCTTCCTTTGGGCTTTTGCTACTAGAAAGCTCAGAACAAATTGCAATTTGAAAGTTACCAGCCTGCATATTTAGATTACTTTTTAATATAATGCAATTACATTTTAATCCAACCTGGTCTTGATCTTGTCTTCATTTATGTGTTCCTGATCTTGATTATTTATTTCTCTTATTACTATTTTACTTTAAGTACTTTTATTGGATATGTTCCCAAATTCTCTGCAGAGCTAGATGGATAGAATCAAACTGATGTCAGGAGAAACGGATCCTTAATATGACCCTGCAAATGCCTATGTGATTGGGGCACGGAGTCTCTCTGAACCTCAGTTTCCTTGTCTGTAGAATGGGAGTAATAAAAAACCTACAAGCTATCTTATTTATGCTGCATGAATAAGGATCTTTGGCTCCAGCATTTTGCAAAAGCACTTTTGTAAACTATGAAAAACTTAGTAGAAACACTTGTTATATGCGAGACACTACTTTATACATGCCTCAGAATGCAAACAGTGTATGTCCTCCTTGTAAGGGACAAGGGGTTAGTGATTTTCTTAGAATAGATAACATCTAAGGAAGGACCAGGTGAGAATGACCGCATGAAGCCACCACATGCCTATTCCAGACCCCCGGCATTAGGACACTTGAGGCCAGGACCCCTGGGTTCCAAGGAATAACAGCTAGGCTCTTATCTTTGTTCTACCTGGTTCCTGGAGGCCTGAGTGGACACATATGCCAGACCACCATCTTCAGTACAGCCCCCAGACCCCAAAAAAGACCAGACTCCCTCCTTTCCTTTCTAAGTCTCCCAGACACTCTGTACCTTCACTCTCTTTATACCTTCGATAAACTCTGTTTTCACCTCTTGTTGGCTGGTGTTTGGTTTCTAGCCTGTGCACAGCCGGGACCCTCTTGGCTGGCCCTGCGGGAACCCCTCTGGGTCCTCGGACCTGGCCCACCAGCATCACTATCACAGAAATTCAACAGGGATTTGTTTTGAAGCATTTTGATTTGGACTGAAAACGAACACAGAGACAATGACGCTATGAACAGAAGATAAAGAAGACGATGTAAGCATGGATATAAAAAGACATCGGAAGAAAGACCCGGAAAATTATCCCAGTGAGTGAAAGATCTCAGGGAAAAAAAAAAACAAAAAACAATCAGGTACACATGACAAGAAGATCAAAATGAGATTACTTAATAAAAGCCAGCATGCTTCAAACCGAAGACAACGCACACTGTTTGTCCTTGAAATGTGACGTACACTCCTTTCTCAAGAATGCTGCAGTAAAGACAGGCCCAGCGCTGACAGGGCCCTATCACCCTTGCAGCCCGGAGGTCATTGTTCCATACAAAATCCAGAGGCTTGCCTGAACCACTGCGGCACAATTTAGCAGTCATTTGGAAAGAGAGCCCCAGAAAATCAACGTATGCAGGGAGATGGGGAGTTTAAATTAGGCAAGAGCCCACCTGTTCAATAATGAAATAATTGCTCAGGGCCCATTCTTCTGTAATCTTTACTGATGCGGCATGTATTCTTGGGCTCTGCCTTTCTCAGTGCTTCCTCGACATTTGCAAATCATCTCAGGGCCTCCTAAAACTGATGCAGAAGCCAGGCAGTCAATTCCCTAATGCCGCGAAAATAGATTCAATTTTACATACATCAGGGTGATTTCAGAAGCAATTTCTACATCTCTAGTGTAAGCATTACTTACATTTTTCCCCCTCAAATCTCATCCCAGTGGTTCCACAGGACATTTTAAAAGGTACCTGATGCATTCCAGGGCATTAAAAAGAATCCCCAGGGCGTGTTTGTGGCTGTAGCCTGAGGATACCAGATGCACAGATAGAGTCCTAAAATATTCAGTGATTCAAACAAATGCAAAATTTCTTAATAATTGAGTATAATGCCAATTGAATTTTTTCCTTGTCTTTCTAAAAGCAGTATCATTAAAATGTATATGCGGGTATGTCTGTGTATATATGTTTGCCTGTGTAGACATGGGTATGTCTGTGTGCGTATGTATATTAATCACACACACATATCAATCATTTGGAAATATTGTCTCTCTTTATGTTGAAGATGTCTAATTAGATTCTACTGGATAGCCTTCCTCTTCCCCTCTGGCTGGCTAATCTACTGGGTCTTGGGTGCTTTCCTCTTAAGAGCCTAAGTTTTAGCCCACGGGGAAAACAGTGGTGATGTTTCCCCTTGAAATCCAAAAAATTGGTGTTAACCAGGTTTTCACTTGAGATCAGAAAGCTTAAGATCAAAGACCTATAATTTTGAGGTCATGTATCTCTATAATATTTTTGGCAGTCAGTCTTCCCAGGGCATTTTTATAAATGGAAAAAAGTGTGCCCAAGAATCTGGCCGATCCAGGAAAGGTTTTGGGTTAATGGGTATCACTTGGCCAGGATATTCTATCAGCTAGACTCGCTACTGAACTTCCTGGTCCTTGGTCCAAAAGCAGGAGAATCTGTGACAGGTTAATCCAGGCAGAGGTTCTCAGGGAGCTCCGGATGGACCTTTCTGTAAGGACACACCGAGACCACTTCCCTGTCAACCCCCTGTCTGCCTCTCCTGGACACCTATGACACTTTCCCCTTTTCCCCTTCCTGAGGGAAGGTATGAATCGCTGTGATTCATCTGTGTTGAGAAAGGAAAGAGGACTGGCTTCGTGGGCAGGCAGACTACAAACTTGCTCTGCTCTCTGAGGAAAACAGAAGTTAAATATTTGCTCATGAAATAATCAGTATGCAATCTTAGATTTTATCTTTAAAGCTATTACACAATCTTAAGAAGTGCGCAGACTTAGCGTGGCCAACAACAGGCAATGGGATAGCGTTTGTCTGCTGATACAACGCAAAGGCAGGTATATGATACCACCCAGGTCAAATTTTTGCCAACATGTTGACCTGAATGTGATCATGATGAAAAAAATTCAGATTAATGTGGATTGTGCCACATCCTATGGGACCACTGGCCTAGACTTTTTAAAAAAGATGTAAGCAGCCTGAAAGAAAAAATAAAGGAGGGAGGGCCGTTCTAGGTGAAAGGTGATGGAGAGACATGATGACGAAATATAATGTGAGCACCTTGACTGGACCCTGCATTAAAACAACAACAACAACAACAACAGTTTGGGGGCCACTGAGGAAATTCAGCTGTAGATGGTATATTAGATACTGAAATAAGGTTACATTTCTTGGGTAAGATAATTTTATAGTGGTTATGTTGAAGAGCTGTCCTAGTTCTTAGGAAGCACATGCTGAATTCTCTGGAGATAGAGTGTCATGATGTCTGCAACCTACTTCTAAATGGTTCGGAAAATTATATATATATATATATATATATATATAATATATATAGTATATAAATATATATAGATACACACACACACACGGAGAGAGAGTACATGTGAATAATTGGTGACTCTAAGTACAGGTATAGGAGGATTCATTTTACTATTTTTTTCAACCTTTTTATAGGTTTAAAACTAATTTCTTTCCTAAGGCAGCATGTCAATATTTGAAAACGGCTATTGCTTCCCCAAAGTTCAGGGTTCTTAACCAGTGTGCCTCTAAGAACCATCTAAATAGCTTTCACAAAATCCACATCCTACCTTACCCCTCATCTCCCTCCTCCTCTTCCCTCAGGAGATTTCGATTTAGTTGGTAAGGTGCACAGCCTACATATGTGTTCTTTGAAAACTTTCTCAGATGGGTTCTGTGCTGCACATGAGGTTTGCAATCATGGGTCTGAGTTACCCTCAGAACCTGGATCCATCGGGAATTAGCTAGGTCACTCTGAGAAGGTCAGCCAAATGCACGGAACTTTGGATGCCTTATCTACAAAATGGGACCAATCATACAAAGTATCTTACAGGGCATGGAGAGGACAAAGATTGTCAATAAATACTTGTTTCCTTTCTTTCTTCATTTTCTCATGGGCTCTCACCACCCCAACTTGATCATACCTACGTGATTTTTACATATTATGGTTTCTTCCATTTGCCATTGATGTAGTGTGTGGAGGACATTTGTCTATGCTCATAGTCCTTTAGAGTTTCTGAATTCCCCAATCTGGAGCAGAGGCTGGAGGATCCACCATTTCTATTAAAGCCAGGAAAAAGACTGGCTTAAAGAAAGATGAGAACAAAATTTAGCTCTCTTGAGTAGCTTTAAATGTTGCCAGTCCTGTAGTTCTCCTTCGGACTAGGGTTAGTCCTGAAATCTTAGCCACTTCTGTTGGCTTGGGATCCTGTATCCACTCTGAATGAGGGCTCAGGGGCTCTTGACTGAACAGCACTTGGAAACACTGGCTGTGATTTGGACCTGGCCAGGCTTGCAAGGCCTGGCTTCCAGGTCTGGATATGTTACTCATCAGCCCTGGGACATTGGAGAATTTGCTTCTCTGAGCCTCAGTTTCCTAAGCACTTAAAACAGAAACAGTAATAATCCATAATGCACCTACCTTACATAGTTTATATGAAACACTGTTTTGAAAACTGTAAGACACTCAATTCAGTGTGGCATGTTTTTCTCCTTATGGGCATAACCATGTCCTCTTTTTTTTTTTTTTAAATATTATTAATTTTGTGAACAAGTAGTTAAGATGGCCTGCCCCCACTTCTACCTGCTTTGGGGGACAGTCTTAAATTCTCCTTTTCCCTCAAGATGGGCTGCCCCAAGTCTCTGCCAGGGAGAACCTTCCTGGAACATGCTTGGGAACATCCTAGGGAAGCACCCTGAGCCCATGCCCTTTAGCATCTGACCACTGTGAGGGGTCCACAGCAGAGGTACCAGGGTCAAGCAGGACCACAGGCATTCCCTTCCCCTTAGTTGATTCAACTTACTGAATCCATTAACGTCCTGAGAGCTAGAGGAGAAGCCTTCATCATTGCGGCTGGTGCTGAGCTTGGTGGTAGGTTTGTCAGCTGAAGCCACAGGCCCCATCTCTCTCTGGGCTCCACTCTGTGTCTCCTTCTGCTTCTTGGCCAGCTTCCTTTGGGACATGTGCAAGGGGAAAAAAATCACAGTCAGATGGTTTCAGTTGTATTAAAGCATTGGGAAGACCAGATTGCTCTTCTTCCCTACTCATCATCCTCAACCCCCAAACCTGGCTCATTCTCCAGAAACAGTCATGGTGGGTCCTCCAGTGCCAAGGTGGAATAAGCCTAAGACCTCCTGAAATCATTAATGGCTTTCCTTCACTCAGAAATTTGAGACTTATCCTGGCTCATCTCCAACAATAGGTATGTTCTTTACTTGAACTTAAAATGGGAAATCAGTGAGACTTGGCATGATGCTTCCCTTGCTCTCCTTCCAAAGGGGGGAAGAGGCCAGATTGATCTTTCTGTTCCCAAGGCTCTGAATGAGATTCACAATGGAGTCTGACGTTTTTCAGGGACAAGATTACAAAATAACACACCAAACAATGGTAGACTGAAGTAGGGGCTGTTGGTTGGTGAAGGGTGAGGGTGGGGGTAGTTAGTATTGTAGCTCAAAGGAGAACACCGAAAGCTGAACTGTATGCCTAACTATTCTCATAGGAATAAAAGACCCTCAGAACCAGATGGTATTTATAATAATACTAGTTTAAAGCAGTGGTTCCCAAACTCTGATGGAAATTAGAATTATTTCAAGAGCTGATAAAAGCACACAGAGGCCCTGGTTCATGAAGGCAGGACAGGGGCGAGGCCGGTGTGTGACCACCTAGGTTCCCCAGGTCATTCTGACATCATCACTGGAGGTTAAAAAAATTGGTTTTGGCCAGGAAGGCCTGGGTTCATATCCTATCTCTGCTGGCTGCATAACCACAGCAAATTCTTTAGCCTCTTCAAGTTCTGAACTCATCTTCTATGTATTATGGGAAACAACTACCAAACCCCTAGGGTCATGATGATTAAATGGGATCAAGTGCTAAACACATGGAGCACAGTGCCTGGCACAGAGAGAACATTCAACACTTGGCAACTGCTTTTCTTGTTTTTATGTCATCCTTACTGGTCCAACCTCATTCTAGGAGACCCACCGTGAAATCCCTGGATATCAAGTGGTAGAGATTTTGATACCTCCCCAGGCAACTGAAGGGTTAAAAAGTTCTCCATATGGATTTCAAATCTATTTCTCTTAAATCTTAACTGATTGTTCTTAGATCATTAGAAATACAAAAATATGACTAATACCTCTTACCTATAATAGTTCTTCAAATATTTCTAAAAAACCAACACAGTTCCTCTGAGATTTCCCCACATTTCCAATTCTAAATACAGTTATTTTGTTCCTGTGATGTGGAAGGCAATGGGCATATTATATATCTGGGGGGGTAAATTCTCAGGTCTCTTGCTCTGTTTTCCATAGGTCTTGGCTTCAACTTCAATCTTGATCACTCCTACCTCAGCATGGAAACAACAGATCTCTCAGACAAGTCAAATTGAGCACCATGTAGGAAATAATTTTCCAAAATGGAGCCTGCTTGGTCACGAAATAGGCAGTTCAAGAGGTAATGATCTCCCTGTCAGAGGAGGTATGATACGAAAGAATAACCCTAGGCCTAGAAGTATTTTAGGGGAGTTCATCTAGGATCAGTTCTGGTTTGACAGTATGATAGCAACCCCCTATATATGGGTCCCTCAATCTAGGTGCAGACTGCACAGAAAAATGACAGATGGCACACTCAGGTGGGCATAATTTGGGAAGACTTTATGTGCAAAAGGACTACTGCCAAAAGTAAGAAGGGTGAAGGGGAATGCAAGGTCCACTCTAGTGACAGATGAGCTGTTGGCCACCATGTGTCCAGAGGGACAAGCAGAGGCAGCAGCGACCAGAACCCCAAAGGAGAGAGTTGTGAAGACAAGAGAAGACCACTGGCCCAGAAGCAGCAGCCTCTCTCAAGGGATCCAGCTGGTCCTCCCAGGGAGGGAACCAGAGACATAAACACCCTGACTACATCTTCCCCTCTCCCCCTGACCTCCAAACAGCGGCTCTCATTAGCTAAAACCAACTGGAAGCCGGAGGCACGGAGTCCATGTCAATCTAGCTCTGGAAGCAGAGGGCAGAGTGGAGAGGCAGGAAGAGCGAATCTGGATCCAGGAAATGCCCCCCAACAAGAGGATTTTATCTCTCTGATTTGGGCCACAATTTGAAGACAAATGTAGCCTAAAATGGAATTCTTTTTTTCTTTCCTTTCCTTCTCTTTTTCTTTTTTTCCCATTGGCCTGAAGAAAGAAGGACCCTCAGGAAAAGGAATGTGTCTTTTAGTTAGGATGTTTTGGCTACAAACATTGTGTTCCAGGAGTCAGAATCTTTCTGACAGACAGAAACAACAAGGAGCAAAGCGTTGGATCATTTGGGCCTTCTCTCACCGTTGCCAGGCAATCAGACTGGGGGGAGGGGGAGCACCAGCGAAAGAGATATGAGTGGGTCTACTACTGATGACATTTTGAAATTTTATTCTTCATTTATTATCAAAAAGGAGTGTTTAAAAATGTATATGTGACCTTCTTAATCATAAATTTGAAAAAATATACAGCAGATCCGTTGCCTCTCTCTGAGCTCTGCTCACACTGCACCAGCAGGAAATAAAAGGAAATCCAGTAAGAAAGTTAACTTTAAAACTAGAAGTGAATGTGTATTAGTGGCTTTGATATTTCCATAGGGGCAGAACTCCCCCCAGGGGTAAAATAATATGGAGAGAGTTGTCTTAGGCACAAATCATTTGCTTCCAAAGGAATAATAACAATAATAATAAAAGGTCTCGCTGCATTTATGAAAAATGGCATTTTACAGAAATGTTTGGGTAGCTCTGAAAACCTGGATAAAAAATGAAAAATTGAGTTTCTCCAAAACATAGGTATTTAAAAACTGGACAGCTAACCAAGTTATAAAAACTCAGGAGTATGGCATGCTTAGTATTTAGCCCATGTTGACACTATGTGTTCGTGGCAATGATGATGTTCTATATAAAAATGTATAGACAGGTGTTTTAGCAACTGGCAAACACAGCTACAAAGTGCAAATAGAAGGAAGGAATATAGAAGGAAATAAAACACAAAAACCATAGTTTTGGGACCTATCTTTATTCTATCAGAATTCAAAATAGAAGTATTAAAAAACCCTTTCGGTAATACAGGAAAAATCATGTTTATTCCTATAACCACAGAGCTTAACTGAGTCCCTTCCCTGTTTTTCCTTAAAAGAGGGGAAAATCCAAGCCTATGAGTTGGGCATGAAAGACCCTCAGGCTATGGCTCTAGGCTTCAACTCAGCCTTATCTTCCGCACACACCTCCTCTTAGGAAACACCAACTACCTGTCTTCATCCCCCAACAATTCCTCAATACTCTATATTCCCTAATGTGTCCCCATTCTTCTCCATTGGCCACCTCCTCTTCATCCTTCAAGGCTCAGCAGTATTCAGATGTCACCTCTCCTTTGAGGTTTCTCTTGCTCCTCTAAATAGATTTGTGGTTTTCTCTTCTTGGCTGACTTATCCGCTGTACAAATATTTATTGAGCACCTACATGTACCGGTCTCTGCTAGCTGTAAGATCACAGTGACAAGAGCCAGACACGACCTTGACCTTCAAAAAACACAGACACTACTGGCAAAAACAGGTGCTAAACATGTAAATACAGAAACAAATATAAAATCATGAAAGTGATGAAAGCCAAGGAGGAGAAATGCATGGAGCTATAAGCATGCCAATAGGTGATTTGAGCCCTCTCAGCAGATCAAAGAAAGCCTTGTTGCCATGTCAGCTAAGCACTCGTCTAGTTGAACTGAAATGATTCAACTCTCCCACCCACTAGGGCAAGAACCTCTTGGGTGAAGGGCTTTTGACTTCTTGCACCTACTCCAATTTCTTGCTAAGTGTCTGGCACATAGCCAGTGCTCAATAAATTTGTTGTACAAATTTATATTTAAAAGTCTACAATTTGAAGTGCAGAAAAAATTGCCATCCTACTCCGACTGCAAATTATAACCACTTTAAAAAAAGATACATACGAGGAATGAGGAAGAAAAACTTGCACAAAATTAGTTTGTGACCTGAAATATTTCTACTTATGAATATTTTTGGCTGACAACTTAGCATTTTCTTCCGGTGGTTATCATAGAATTCTTGTGATGTTTGCAGAATTAATGGAATGTTTACAGAAGTCAGAATTTTTTTTCACTTAGAGCCCATGGAATAGCCATAGCTACAGAATGTTTTTTAAAAAATCACATAAAATGGTTACATGATAAATAGGATAGTCACATAACTCATGGAATCTTCAGATCCTTCAAGACCCAAGTACTTCTGACTTCTGAAACTTGGAATTTTTTCTCTAGCTGTTCTGAGATTCTTGCCAACTGGGTCACAAAATTTCACCAGCAGGGGGTACCAAAAGCTGGTAAAAAGAGAACATGCATAAGCCTATCTATTCCTCTGCAGGGATATTTCTAGAGCTGAAGAATGTTTTAAGACCTAGCAATCCAAAGTTTACTGTTTCTGACAGGTGGGGACAATGTGATGTGACCATAGCTCTTGGCATTCTTTCTTCTAACAGATCACTCTGAGGTCTTTCTGACCTTTGCTTGTTAGCTGAGTGAGGGTAGGTGGCAGGGGATATGCCCATGACGGACCTTGAGTCCTATGATTTATTCTGAGCACCACTCTTTATAAGGGACAGTGTCAGGTGGAATGGCTCAAGAGAGAGGAATGCAAGGCTGTGAAAGGTTCTGAAATCATTTTGAGAGAAGGAGCATCTGAAACGATGGGGATTATTTCTCAAGGAGAGGGAATATTCAGGAATGCTCTCTTCACACATTTGATGTCTGGCTCTGTTGTGGCCCCAGGAGCAGAATTAGAAACAGGGTGGCTTGACACAGGAAGAAAGAACAAAGTAGAAGTTCTTGGGTCTCTTTCGGAAGTGCCTAATACCCGACTGTCCTTCCCATTTCTTCTTCCTTGGTAATCTTCTCTACATCTTTTACATCCCAACTCAAATGTCCCCCACTC